TAATCAAACAAACCGCAGTGAATATCATTTCATGCCAGAATTAAGATCTTTTGGCTGCCTTTGTGTATTGGAACTATTGCAATAAACTCGCTGGTATAATCTGGTATCGAACGTAATTGACGTCAGATCAAGAACACTTGTTCGTGATTTAAAAACAAGAACATAAAAATACACTAATCAGTTTTAAAGGCTATTAATTTCCTATTGTCCGTTTGCCGGTGACTGCTTGAAAAGGTATTAATTTAATTCCATTATTTACCTTTTTTTCAATGGGCAAACAGAATTCATCGGAGGATTTTCCTTTTTTAGGATATACAAACGGATTATGGTAATATGTCTAATATGGGGAAATGACATAATCACTTCTCTTGTAGTTTGGCGTTTCTCCTGTAATTCTCCTACAGTTTTTGATTTCTTTTTCTTTATTGTTTGTTTCATAAATCCTGCCACTACAAATTATCAAATTTAAGGACAAACATACAAAATATATATTTTTTCTCTCCAGAATCTCTCTTGCATTTAGATACGTCAACCAATTGTTCATGCTTTGAATATTGCTGGCAGACACTCTCAGAGCCCACAAGATATCTCTCCTCCAGGCCACTCACCTTGCCGCTAACAGGCGACTGTGTCTCCCAGCGACGCCTAACAGCACAAGCGGTCGGAAAAACTAAAACTTTGTTTACGCTAGGATACGAAACTGAGCGAATATGTATGTCTCGATAGTTTCAGAAAGATTCGAGTTTACAAGGCACTATTCAACTTTGCTTGATTGACGACTTACTCCGTGGACGTGTCGGTTTAAAATATTTCGGACCTAATGTCGGTTTCTCCTGTCAAGGAGACTCATATTCAAATCCAGTCTTAGAGCTTATATTTTGTTTAATAAGATTTCTCGAATATTCAGGACGGTAGACGAAAATAAATAAATATATTGTTCAAGAAACAAAAGGAGGGTTTATTCAAATATGGTTATCCCCTAAAAATGACGTTTAAGTAAAAAAAAAAATCTGTATGTGAATCTGGATTTAAAGATGTTTTAAATTTAAATCAGAACAATCAAACTGAACAAAGTTGAAACATTGCAATTCAAATGCACAAAGAAAGAAAGAAAGAAAGAAAGAAAGAAAGAAAGAAAGAAAAGGAAGAGAGAGAAGAATAAAGAAACAAAGAAACAAAGAAGAAAATGGAACGGGTCAAGAGAAAAATTAACAAGAATTTTTGTGTTTATAACATCGCCCACGACATTTGTGTGTAAACCAGTTTCTCACGTGTAGAATTTATCGTACATTGATATAAAAAAAATTACATTCACCCTAATCATTACATATTAAATATCGTAGAAAATGATAAATTGCAAATCCTTTTCTATAGGAATGTATTGTACGTGATTTTAGTAGAGGAATATATTGTAACTGATTTTTACTATAAGAATGCACTGCAAGTGATTTTTTTTATAAGAATGCTTTGTAAATGATTTTACTATAGGAATTCATTGCAAATCAATTCTCTATAAGAATGCATTACAAATGATTTTATTATACGAATACACTGCAAATGATTTTCTGCAATAATGCATTGCAAATGATTTTACCATAGGAATACATTGCAAATGATATTCCATAGGAATACATCATAAATGAATTTGCTATAAGAATGCATTGTAAATGATTTTACTATAAGAATATATTGTTTGTAAATGATTTTACGATAGAAAAGCATTGTAAATGCTTTGGAAATTATTTTATTATAAGAATTTATTGCAAGTGATTTTAATGGGAATGTATTGTAAACTAATTTGATTATCAGGCTTTATAAATACTTTTAATATAGGTGGACAATATATGCATTTTTCTTCACAATAGTAAATAGTTTTAGTGTAGGAATGTTTTACAAATGAAGTTTGTAATAGAATGCATTGAAAATTATTTTCTTTTGTAATATATTGTAAATGATTTACGATAGAAGTTTTAATCATAGCTATTTTTATATTCTGTATTTGCTTGAGGAAGCCATGGTGCACAGTGTCGATATTGAACATTGAAAACCAACTGAAAGCAATTGTCAGTAGCCAGGAATTAATCCAAGTATTAGTGAATAAACAGTTTTTACATATCTAGTGAAAATGCATAGCTAACGTTTTTACTGTAGAAATGCATTGAAAATCAAATGAAAGGGGTTGTCAGTTGTCAGGAATTAATGCGATTGTTATTCACGATATAAAGCCGTTATATCTAGAATATAAATACATTGGCATTCAGAAAGAGACTGTCAAAACTATTCGGGCTTATAATGAATAAAGAGGTCTTGGTGAATTTAACACTCACATGACATATTAAAGATCAGAGGGAAACAACGAGAAACTGGGAGGGATAAGGGACAAGTATTGTTTAAATCTACAAGAGATAGTAAGATGTGGAGGATTATAATAATCCAGATTCTGAAGAAGAAGAAGAAGAAGAAGAAGAAGAAGAAGAAGAAGAAGAAGAAGAAGAAGAAGAAGAAGTATTACAACGTCTATTTTTCGGTTTTATGGGAAGCACGAAGTGAGGTTATTTTGGATTTAACAAGAACCTTTGGAGTTTTCAGAAGTTAATTTTGTTACGGAACATTTTCATTCATAGTTTTCGAAAATTTTCTTATTTTTCTTTCTTTTCTTTCTATTTGTTCCTTATTTCTTTCTTTTTTGTTCTTCCTATTGTCTATCATTTTTGCCTTTATTCCTTCGTTGCTTTTTTATTCTTCCTTCATTCTGAGTTTATTATTTCATTTTTCTTTTATTTCCGTTATTTCCTTCTATCTTTCTTTCTTTCTTTCTTTCTTCTGTTTCCTTCATGTACTTTCTTTTTCTTTCTTTTTCCTCAATTGCTTCCCTTTTTCTTCTTTTGTCTTTCCTTTTTCTTTCATTTATCTATTTTCTATCACTCTTCGTGTATCTATTTTTCATTTTATCCATTTTTCGTGCTATTTTTTCATTCTGTTTCCTTTCCGTCTCCTTTCTTATTTTTCTCTCTCTTTCTTATATTCGTTCTTTCTTGCTTTACCCTTTTCATCAGTAGTGCTTTTTCTTTTTCATTCATAGTTCTTTCACTTTTCTTTCTTTATTTTTTCTTTATTTTCTTTCTTTCTTTCTTTCTTTCTTTCTTTCTTTCTTTCTTTCTTTCGTGGTCCTTAATCTTTTTTCTTTTTCATTCATACTTTCTTTCTTTCTTTCTTTTCTTTCTTTCTTTCTTTCTTTCTTTCTTTCTTTCTTTCCCCTTTCATCTGTGGTCCTTAATCTTTTTTCTTTCTTTCTTTCTTTCTTTTTCTTTCTTTCTTTTCTTTCTTTCTTTCTTTCTCCCCTTTCATCTGTGGTCCTTATTCTTTTTTTTCTTTTTTCTTTCTTTCTTTCTTTCTTTCTTTTCTTTTTTTCTTTCTTTTCTTTCTTTCTTTCTCCCCTTTTTTCATCTGTGGTCCTTAATCTTTTTCTTTTCTTTCTTTCATCTTTCTTTCTTTCTTTCTTTCTTTCTTTCTTTCTTTCTTTCTTTCTTTCTTTCTCCCCTTTCATCTGTGGTCCTTAATCTTTTTTCTTTTTCTTTCTTTCTTTCTTTCTTTCTTTCTTTCTTTCTTTCTTTCTTTCTCCCCTTTCATCTGTGGTCCTTAATCTTTTTTTCTTTTTCTTTCTTTCTTTCTTTCTTTCTTTCTTTCTTTCTTTCTTTCTTTCTCCCCTTCTTTCTTTCTTTCTTTCTCCCCTTTCATCTGTGGTCCTTAATCTTTTTTCTTTTTCTCTTTTTCTTTCTTTCTTTCTTTCTTTCTTTCTTTCTTTCTTTCTTTCTTTTTTCTTTTCTTTCTTTCTCCCCTTTCATCTGTGGTCCTTAATCTTTTTTCTTTTTCTCTTTTTCTTTCTTTCTTTCTTTCTTTCTTTCTTTCTTTCTTTCTTTCTTTCTTTATCTGTGGTCCTGTATCTTTTTTCTTTTTCATTCACTCTTCTTTCTTTTTTCTTTCTTCCTTTCTTTATAGTCATGCTGTCATTTTGTTTTTTCCTATATTTTAAGTTTCATTTCTCCTCTCTTAAGGTGAGCTCACAATATTTCTCAGTTTCGTCTCTCCGTCTCTTACTCCCCCCCCTCTCTCTCTCTCTCCTACACTCTCTATCTTTCTCGTTCTCTCCTTTTTAATCACAATTGTCTTTTTCTTAGCGAGGGGCCTCTCTGCTGTTTGATTCGTTTGTTTATTTCTTCCTTTCTTTTCAATCCCTCAAGACCGCCAAATTTAACTGTGCAATAAAGAACACCTCCCTTGACGCATGCGCAGAGTGTGACTGCATTGTCTTCTATCGATCTAACTTTGTGCATAAACAAGCAAGCAATATGTTTAACATCGAAGGCGCCTTCTGACCGAAAGACTAACTTACTGTAAGGAATGAAAACAGACAGACAACTTATACTTTACGAATGAAAAAAGTAAAATAGCAAGAAGCAGTGAATAAATGCTTTAAAAACGAAGCTATAGCAGTAAGGTTATGACAGCCAATGGATAATCGATAACTCAGCTTTATTTATTTACCATCTTGCGAGGTTATTTTCCCTGATGTGGGGGTTTGATATGCGTCAGTGTTCCACACCGGATTTTTGAGAACCAGAAGTTTAATACACAGACTTGAGTAAGTCTAATACAGTGTTACAAGTGTATTGTATCTAATGAGGATCGAACTCACTACATCTTTGAGGGTAGTTTGTTAACGATATTTTACTATAAGTACGTCGATATTTATTTATTTATTAGTTTACTTCCAGGTCAAAATAGTGTGATGTTCAGTAGGTCACATTATATTAACAAATGGTTTGTGTGACTGACTTTCTAAGCATTGTTTCACTGTAGACACATACATTTTACTTGTTTTCTATTAAACTTTAAGCAATATCGAAGAAAGATGTTATTGGTGTGAAATGGAAAAAAAAAGAGAAATACAAGAAATGACAATAAAAATAGCAAATAAAGAAAAAAAGAACGAAGATGATCTAAAAAGTAACACAAAGAAAGAAAGAATAGAGATGATCTAAAAAGTAACACAAAGAAAGAAAGAAAGAAAGAAAGAAAGAAAGAAAGAAAGAAAGAAAGAAAGAAAGAACGGAGACAATGTAAAAAGTAACACAAAGAAAGAAAGAAAGAAAGAAAGAAAGAAAGAAAGAAAGAAAGAAAGAAAGAACGGAGACAATGTAAAAAGTAACACAAAGAAAGAAAGAAAGAAAGAAAGAACGGAGACAGTGTAAAAAAGCATTTTTCTTAACACAAAGAAAGAAAGAAAGAAAGAAAGAAAGAAAGAAAGAAAGAAAGAAAGAACGGAGGCGATCTAAAAAGTAACACACATAAAGCAAGAAAGAAAGAATAGAGATGATCTAAAAAGTAACACAAAGAAAGAAAGAAAGAAAGAAAGAAAGAAAGAACGGTGACAATGTAAAAAGTAACACAAAGAAAGAAAGAAAGAAAGAAAGAAAGAAAGAAAGAACGGAGATGATCTAAAAAGTAACTCAAAGAAAGAAAGAAATAAAGCAGACAATCTAAAAAAGTAAGACAAAGAAAGAAAGAAAGAATGAAAGAATGAAAACGAATAAATGTTGGAAAGATGAAAGAAAGTAAAGAATATAGACGAAGAATAAAGAATAATATCTTTCTTTCTTTCTTTCTTTCTTCTGTTTCCTTCTTGTACTTTCTTTTTCTTTCTTTCCTCACGAGCAAAACTATCTGCCTTAAAAGGGTTGAAAGTTTTGTGGGAGACGAGCAACCCTCTTCTCACCAGTGTCAAACGAAGAAAAATGTCGTGGTTTGGACCCATTACAAAGCACGATAGAGTTGAGTAATGAATGTTCATGTATAATGTGGTCCTTGAAACGGATCATTACAATTTTTTAAAAAATTACGATCTTTACCACTTTTAAAAATATTACAGTTGCAATTAGTATACGCTGGGAATAACTTAACATGCGGGGTGCGTAAGAAGACCACCAGAAACCGCTCCGGTCTCATCCAACACATGAAAACCCACGAACAACCTGAAAATTTACTAAACAGGCAAGGCCCTGTACAGTACAAAAAGGTTTACCGCTACTGCAATAAGCATTGCAAGCCACTTGCTGGCTTCATTTACCATTGTCAATCTTACAAGAATTAAAAAAAAAAAAAAAAAAACATGGAACAAACTTGTCACCGATGGTCATACTCAACAGGCGCCATGTCTGAATAAGATAGATAGATAGATAGATAGATAGATAGATAGATAGATAGATAGATAGATAGATATGGAAGTTAACAAGTAGAGACAGACAAATCCATAAATAGACAGACAGACAGATAGATAGATAGATAGATAGATAGATAGATAGATAGATATGGATAGATAGAGACAGACAAACCCATGAATAGACAGACAGATAGATAGATATGGAAGATAGATAACAAGATAGAGACATAGACAAATCCATAAATAGAGACAGACAAACAGACAGATAGATAGATAGATAGATAGATAGATAGATATGGAAGTTAATAAGTAGAGACAGACAAACCCATGAATAGACAGACAGACCCATAGATAGATAGATAGATAGATAGATAGATAGATAGATAGATAGATAGATATGGAAGTTAATAAATAGAGATAGACAAACCCATAAATAGACAGACAGACCCATATATAGATAGATAGATAGATAGATAGATAGATAGATAGATAGATAGATAGATAGATATGGAAGTTAATAAGTAGAGACAGACAAACCCTTAAATAGACAGACAGACCCATAGATAGATAGATAGATAGATAGATAGATAGATAGATATGGAAGTTAATAAGTAGAGATAGACAAACTCATAAATAGACAACAGACCGGATAGATAGATAGATAGATAGATAGATAGATAGATAGATAGACATACATGGCATAGACGAATAGTTTTTAGTGTTATAACATCTGTAACACTCTTTTGCAATGATATCATACCAAATACCTGTTTACTTGATTTAACGGAAATCTATTTCTTTTGCACCGCAACAAATTACAGAGATTGATTTAGTTAACTAATTTGGAAAGACAGAAGAAAACATTACTGACTGTTGATGGGTCCGAGTAAAGATAAGTTGACATCAACATTAGACAGACAATGACGCGTTAAATTTCGAAACAAAGAAAAGAGTCAAAATTAAAAACCAATCTGTCAAGACAGAGAATGGCAAATCTCCTCTTTTTTTTCTTTTTTTTTTCTCACGCAGACAGACGGGGTACAAATGTCTAATCAAAGCAACGAGGCGTGATTCTTTGTTGGGTCGTGATTATCTGCTAATCAATAGTTATTTACTGATTGGAAACCTTCGAAGTTTAACAATATTGTTGAAACGAAATCTTCTCTCCGCATAAAACGAAAAAAAAAACAAACAAAAAAAAAGCAACGTAAAAACTTTTTTCCTTGCAAGTTAGGAAAGCTTTGTTTTTTCTTGGCCAAAGATTGAGGCTGTTTTCAACAGAAGTCAATACCGTAATTTTTAGTTGCTGATTTAGACTGGCTTTAATAATCGATAGAGAAAGGGGATGGGTGTAAAGATAATAAATCGAACTTTCGAAAATTTCCATACTACCGAAGTTTGTGTCCGGCTTCCATCTTGAATCGAATAGCTAGCTTATCTGATATGTCAGAATGCACAAAGAATTTTTTTTAAATTCCTTTAAATTTTAAGAGTTGTATCATGAAATATTTGAGCTTAGAATGAAAGAATGTCGTCTGTATTTCTACAATAAATTTTGCCCATGTTATGATTTAAATAGTATTTATTGGGGTTAAAATCATTGGTAATGTCTTCTTATAGTAAAATCATTTCCAATGCTTTCCTATTGTAAAATCATTTACGCTGCATTCTTATATTAAAATCATTTACAATGTATCCCTGCATTAAGAGTAATTGATACACTTGGAAAGTCATTTTCAAAGCATACTTAAAGGAAAATCATTTATAGTGCATTCTTATATCAAATCACTGGCACTGTATTAATGTAATAAATCGCTTATAATAATTTTTTATAGTAAAATTATTTCCAGTACAATACTATGAATCATTTGCAATGCATTCCTATAGTAAAAATTTTCGTAATAAATTTCTATTGAGGAATGATTTGCTATGCATTCTAAGAGCGAAATAATTTCCAATGGATTTCCATAATTAATACTACTATCTGAAAACACTTTTTTTAAAAATAAATTCTACGTTAAAATAGCTTACGGTAAATGTCTATTCATTTATTGGTCGTCGTTGGCGGAACTATTTTCCAAGTACTGCGGTGCTCATAGACATTTCCTTCTGTGTGAAATGAGTCCTATGTTGGTTCTGAAGAGATGTCAGCAGCCGCCTCAGGGTAGGGTAGGTGGGTTAAAGGGATGGGGATCTCTGGCTTTTTATTTGGCACTCTTCGTCTCTTCTATTTGTCTCCTGCTATTTTCGAATGATGTTGTTTTTGTGGACTGCTCTTCTCCAACTGGTTCTTCCTGCAGCTTCCGTCTCCGACTTGACCGGATCGATTTCTGCCTTAGCATGGTGTTTTTGAGCTGATCCTTGAATTGATGACATGAGACTCTACGTGGTCTTTTGCCACATGCGAACTCCTCGAAGATGATTTAGTAGCACTATATATGTAATCATCAGAATGGGTGTCAATTTTATCGTATTAAAATGTATTATTTACCATAATCCTATCTTTGATATATTATTTACCGTATGGAACGTGGTCCGATTAAAAGTATTGCGACATTCGCTATGGTAACGGAGCTAAAGTAAACAGAGTGAACCCGTTTGGCACACATTAGTCTTGAACTCTGTCGCGCATGCACACTAAGTTATAACGTTCTCGCTCATTTCCGCTATTTATAGCAGTGCTGGGAAGGGAAGTGTGTAGAGTGTGGTCGTCTCACCACACTACAGAGGTTCAATCAGGGATTATGGCTCGTGCAGCAGTTTTTGGTCGAGAATGACATTCCCCAGGTCCGATAACTACCATACTCCCCAGTTATCGCCCCTTGCGACTTTTTTCCCTTCAAAAATCAATCCCAGTTGAAAGGAACAAGATTTCAAGACGTCGAGGCAAATCCTGATAATGCGATGAGGTAGTCGCTTACTATCCCAAAAAGCAGTTCAAGGAATGCTTCCATCTGTAGCTTATAAAAAAAAGAAACTGCTTCGAAGGAAACTAAATGCCGAATTGATATGTGTTGTAGTTTTCTTTTTTTATAACTCCAATCCTGATACTTTTTTATTAGATCTCATAAATCCTATCTTTCATATCATATTATTTATTATTTATCGTACAATAAATCTTATCCATTATGTCATACGGGGCATATACAGCTAGTATCATATATTTCATATATTTAAAAATATTCTTTGGGTAGTAGATACATTGTTTATTTAATAAATACTATATTTATTAATTTTTGTCTACTGGCCTGAATATTCGCGAAATCTTATTAAAGAAAAATAAGAGCTATTCGGCAGGATTCGAATCTGCGTACCACATGGGCAGAGGAAAACCGTTACTTTTGGATACGTAACTGAGTAGATATGATAATTTCGTAGAATTTGGATTTCGTTTAAAGGCACTATTCAAACTTTGCTCGATGGGCAAAGTTTCTTCGTGGCCGAGCCGGCTAAGGTACGTCGGATCTAACAACGGTTTCGCTTTGCCCAGGGGGTGGGGAGACGCAGGCTCGGATCCCGTCGGAGAGTGCATATATTTAGGCCGGTAGGCGAAAATAAATAAATATGCTGTTTAATAAATAAACAAAACGTCTACTCAAATATGAGTATCCTCTAGAAATGACGTTTAAAGTGATATAAGCATTTATAAATTATTTTCTTCCGTCACATGATATAAAAGTGTCGTAATCGTATGTGATTAAACAGGTGCGAAAGCAGGTGAATAGACAAGTGGATAATGTTGAAATTATGGCAGGAATATACATTGTGCAAAGTAAAAATTACTGGGATAGGATTTAAATAAACATATTTTACCATATAACGATTAACACAAGGAATATTTTGCTTTTATCTAAATTATCCATGAAATCAAGAATTTGCCAAAGACACTTACGATAAATTAAATTAATGAAAGTTGTCTTTCCATTTTTCTGGGATACATCTTAATTCAACAGAACCATGTTGAGTTTTGAAGTGAAGAAATTTGAAAAGCGAAATTAAATTAAGCAAAACAGTCT